TACTATTTTTGATATTTAATTTAAAAAAATACTGAAAAATGGCACAACAGACATAATTGCTGAAAGAAGAGGTAAATTACAAAAAAATATTATATTGAAAAAAAGTGATTTTAATGCTTTATCAAGCCTATAATATAAAAACAAACATATTAACGATTGTAACAAAAACAAATTTACTGAAAAAATATGACACAAAAAAGGATAATTGCTGAAAAAATGTGTGACTTCAATGCTCGATCAAACTACTCCATAGTCTAGTTCATGAAAGAAAAACTGAAAAATGCTACAAAAAACATAATTGCTGAAAAAAAGGGGAATTCACAGAGGATTTGTACTGAAAAAGGCATAATTGTCGAAAAAAGAGGTGATTTTAATGCTTGATCAAGTAAAAAAACATACTGAAAAATGCCACAAAAAATAATAATCTAGTTCATAAAAAAAATTAATTAAATATATATATATAAAAATATAAAAAGGATAATTGCTGAAAAAAGAGGATATTTCAAGGCCCGATAACGTCACAATCTAATTTATAAAAAAAATTAACTGAAAAATATGTCACAAAGAATCATAATTGGTGATTTCAATGCTCAATTAAGTCGTATTCTAATTTACTGAAAAAGGCATAATTGTCGAAAAAAAAGGTGATCTTAATGCTTGATCAAGTCATATAATATAATTGAAAGGTACATACTGAAAAATGCCCTAAAAACATATTTGCTGAAAAAGAGGTTATTTGTGATCAAGCCACAATCTAATTTCTAAAAAATCTTTTTTAAAAAATATGACAAAAAGCATAATTGCTGAAAAAAAGCGGTGATTTCTATGCTGGATTAAGCCGCAATCTACCTAAATTACAAAGAATTGTACTGAAAAGGCATAATTGTCGAAAAAAAGGTAATTTAAATGCTTGATTAATGCCATCATGTAATATAATTAAAAAAAACACACTAAAAAATGCCACAAAAAACAAAATTGCTGAAAAAATGGGCGACTCTAATGCTCAATCAAGCCGCTATCACAGTCTACTTTGTGAAAGAAATACTGAAAAATGCCAATAAAAAAACACAATTGCTGATAAAAAGGGGTTATTTCAAGGCTCGATCACGTCAGAATCTAATTTATTAAAAAAAAATTACTGAAAAATATGTCACAAAAGAGCATAATTGATCAAAAAATTGCTGATTTCAATGCTGAATTAAGTCGCAACCTAATTTACAGAAAAAAGGCATAATTGTCGAAAAAAGAGATGAATTCAATGCTTGATCATTTAAAAAAACATACCAAAAAATGCCCCCAAAAACTAATTGCTGAAACAGGATGACTTGTGATAATTTATAAAAAATCTTTTCTAAAAAATATGACACAAAAAAGCATAAATGCTGAAAAAAAAAGTGATTTCAAGGCTCGATTAAGCAGCAAAATTCCTAAATTACAAAAGGCAATTGAAAAATGCCACTACAAACCAAAATTACTGAAAAAATGGGTGACTTCAAAGCTCGATCAAGCCACGCCACAGTTTACTTTATGAAAAAAATGCTAAAAAATGCCACAAAACAACACAATTGCTGAAAAAAGGGAATTTCAAGGCTCCATAACATCACAATCTAATTTATGAAAAAAATAATTTAATTTACAGAGAAAGGATTAATTATCGAAAAAAGAGGTGATTTCAATGCTCGACTAAGCCAGAATCTGTTTAAATTAGAAAAAACATACTGATGCCTCAAAAGCAAAATTGCTGAAAAAATGAGTGACTTCAATGCTCGATCAAGCCACGCCACAAAAGAAATGCTGAAAAATGCCACAAAAAACACAATTGCCGAAAAAAATAAAGTTGAGAGATATTTGGAGCGAGTTCAATGAGTTCAAGCCAGATTTTCGCCTGAAAATGGTTGAAATATCCCCGAAAATTGCAACAAAAGCACAAACTATGTGCTAGTTGAAGCTATTAGACGCCATGTGGGCCTGAAAAAAAGTCTACTTTTTGAAAAAAATACTGAAAGATGCCACAAAAAGCACAATTGCTGAAAAAATGAGTGACTTCAATGCTAGATCAAGCCACGCCACAAAAGAAATACTGAAAAATGCCACAAAATACACAATTGCCGAAAAAAACAAAGTTGAGTGATATTTGGAGCGAGTTCAATGCTACCTCAAGACAGATTTTCGCCTGAAAATGGTTGAAATATCCCTGAAATTTGCAACTAAAGCACAAATTATGTGCTAGTTGAAGCTATTAGACGCCATGTGGGCCTGAAAAAAAGTCTACTTTTTGAAAAAAATACTGAAAAATGCCACAAAAAACACAATTGCTGAAAAAAAGTGTTACTTCAAGGCTCAATCACGTCACAATTAATTTATAACAAAAATTAACTGAAAAATATGTCACAAAAGAGCATAATTGATAAAAAGTAGGTGATTTCAATGCTTAATTAAGCCACAATAAACTACAGAAAAAGGTATAATTGTTGAAAAAGAGGTGATTTCAATGCTTGATTAATGCCATCATGTAACATAATTAAAAAAAACATACTGAAAAACGCCACAAAAAGCAAAATTGCTGAAAAAAAGTGTTACGTCAAGGCTCAATCACGACACAATCTAATTTATAAAAAAAAATTAACTGAAAAAAATGTCACAAAAGAGCATAATTGATAAAAAGTAGGTGATTTCAATGCTTAATTAAGCCACAATAAACTACAGAAAAAGGTATAATTGTCGAAAAAGAGGTGATTTCAATGCTCGATTAAGCTGCAATCTATACCTAAATTACAAAAATTAAATTGAAAAAAAAAATTGTCGAAAAAAAGGTAATTTCAGTGTTTAATTAATGCCATCATTTAATATAATTAAAAAAACATACTGAAAAATACCACAAAAAGCACAATTGCTGAAAAAATGAGTGACTTCAATGCTTGATCAAGCCACGCCCCAAAAGAAATACTGAAAAATGCCACAAAACACACAATTGCCGAAAAAAACAAACTTGAGTGATATTTGGAATGAGTTCAATGCTACCTCAAGACAGATTTTCGCCTGAAAATGCTTGAAACATCACTGAAAATTGCAACAAAAGCACAAATTATGTCCTGGTTGAGGCAATTAGACGCCATGTGGGCATGAAAAAAATTTTCGTGTAGTTTTCCTGAAAATCTGAAAAAGCCTTCCGTCGGTGTCGTATCGCAATGCCGGCACCTGTTCGCCGAGAAAACGGTCTACCTGCGACCACGTGTTGATGAGGGTGGGGACTTAAGGAAGGTAGAGGTAAGACTGTTGAGGGTCAATGCTAGTTCAGTGCCACTCCTGCAAGGCTGCGGTCACTAGATCACCGCGAATCGCGCGCTTCGTCTCTTCTCTGTCATGCACCCTCTATCATGTGTTGTTATTTTTGACTTTCCTGCTCATTTTTGACTTTGCTCGCGATGGAGACTTGTGTCCTCATCCCGCAGGAATTCAGTCTTTGCGTCCGGAGTCCTGCTTTGGGACGGCGCACCACCGAGCCTGAAGTTTCCGTCTGGTCCAATACCAGCATCGCGCAAGGATCGCTCTGTTATCCTTTCCAAGGGACGATCAGGATTGATAAACTTGATGTCTATGGACAGCTTGATGATGATGATGTAAGTCCACAAAACGTCAATCTCGAAATTTATTAGTTTCAAGGTCATAAGTTGAAAAATATTTGCGAGGAATATACGACATTTTCCCATATTCATATTCAATTATGCATCAAAGTTTAATCTGACTCATCTCAAAATGACTTGGAAAACAATGTTATTCATTTTTTGTAATCGACTAAATTTAATTAATTGATAAACAAGGCATTTCTCAAGGATTGTTATTGTTTTCACTACCGAAATAATAAAATTTGGGTTTTTGCAAATAAATAATTGGATAAATAAAAATCTGGAGGTGATTTCAATGCTAAATCAAGATGCAAGAGAATAAAAATTTATTTTTTACAACTTATTTTTCTTACAATTTTTGTATTAGAAGATAATAAAGAGTTGCTTTGTTTATTTTTGCAAAATTTTAATGCTTTTTGGTATTTTAAAAAAATTATAAAAGCAAAAAAATTGGAAATTATTGAAACATTTCGTATATTATTGGCCGAAATATCAGTTAAATTTTTCATAAATTAATTTTATTTTTCGTAAAAAAATCTTGAAAAATACTCTCCTGTCCTGTACTGTTTCGACAAATTTTTCCCACCTATTTTAGCTCTCTTTTTGTTTAAATTAAAAAAAAAACATACAAAATGTTTAATTTTACTTAAGGTTTAGTTAAGTATTAAACTGAAAAGGTTAAGTTAATGCTGAAAAAGTTAGTTTTTCATTAAACTTTCAG